GACACGTTGGCCCACGGGCATTATGCTATACCACCACCGGAAGACCTATAGTTTTTAAGTTCTTATCATTGTAAAAAAAAACTATCGTCAAGAATTGATTTTTTAATGTAATATTTTAATGAATTGAATTGTAAATAAATGTAAGTTAGAATTGATATTATAATAAATACTTAATTAATTAAAGTAATTACCCTCTATTTATTTCGATAATACCAGATAGATTATTTTACAATAGGTATTAATAACCTATAGTAAANTATTTCGATAATACCAGATAGATTATTTTACAATAGGTATTAATAACCTATAGTAAATACTACACGTAATTTAGAAATATTTATTTATTTTACTATAATCATTAATATACATTTTATTTAGGGAAAATATAATTATTGTACGAATACAAATGAGAATATTGCAAAATCATTTTTTGACAATAATGTTACATATTATAATTCATCCATTGTTTTAAGCAGATTGCCTTGTATAAACTACACACTGTCGGGTTGTTCATGTGTCGGATACAACACATTTTTGTAACACAACTTAAATTGTACAGCGGTGGGCAGTCCAAATCCTCGACGTTGACTATACGTTGTCCCGGTATGTACTTTTCCACTACTCGCTTTTTCACAGCTCCTTTCACGTAAATGGTCTCGCACCGCAACAGTTTCATGATTCTCGGCAACTCATTGTATTCAACGTCACCGCAACGAGTATCCATTCCATGTAGGTATTTTTTTAACCAAAAGTTTGTTTTAGCATCGCCCTCGATACATTTTGGATGTTTAAACATCCAATGAGCGAATGAAGTACAGTCTATGGCAATGACAGTCAGTTCCTTAACCAAAAACGGTCGGTCGGCTGCCACAATACCTTGTATATCGACAATCATTGAGGTGAGATATTGGTTTTGGGTATCCATGAATTGTGCTCTGGACCAAATCCTAACCATTTAACGAAGCACTGGTCTCCTCGTGTTCGCAACACTCGTTCGACTAAATACATGTCCGGATAACTGGTCTTGTTCAGCTCTTCGGTGTAAAACAAACCACGTATTGGATTTCCCTGATAGTCTTCTAGATAGTATGTTGGCGGTACTGTTTGCCTAACCTTAACTACGGTAAACAGTTCGGTGCTCCAGTTTGGTAAGTAACCCTTATCAAACACTGATTTATGTACACTTATCCGCACCTTGTCTCCCACACGGAATTTTACCGGTAAATTATCTGGTATTTGACGCAACTTGAACCGAACCAGGTCTGGGTTTTTCACCGCTTACACCGGTGTCATACCGATTTTTCTATGTTTACGCACGTTATTGTAGTCGTGCAACAGCGCAGACAACCGATTCACCCATTTGTACGAGCCACGTGCACTTAAGTCACGCCACATTGCGTTTTTCAGCGTGCGGTTAAAACGTTCCACTAGACACGCTTTCATCGTGAAATAAGTAGAGTAATGATTAATTGCGTATTGTGACATCAGTTTTTGAAATTGTTTATTGTAAAATTCTTTACCATTGTCCGTTTGCAAAAGCTTAGGATGACGACCATGTTTCAGTATTCCGTTCATGGCTGCGGTAACTTCGTTGGCCGTTTTATTTTTCAACGGGACGGCCCACGCGTATTTTGAAAATCCATCGACTTCCTCTTATATATCCTCTTCCAATATAGAAACGATTTCCGGTGAAACTCCAGTGTTGCCAGCCGACCGGGCTGATATCAATAAACGTAAACGTTCCACGAGCTCGTTGGGGTCGTCCCAGTAAACGTAATCTTTTTTCTTGTTGTTCAATCTCAATTGTAGACCCGCACCGATAATGGATGTGTCACTGATGTTGCTGCTGCTGCTTTCAAACAACGGTAAGGAATTGTTTGGGTTACCACCATCACCGTTATCTAACAATGGTTTAATGGCGTTTACATACTTTTGACCTCCTTTTTTCAATGTTCCGTCTTTATTTAAATGCACACCGGTTTTGCCGAGAATCGTTTTGTACGCATGCAAATCCGATTCGGAGTAAACTCCAGGGTTTTTCGAAAACAGTAAATCCACAAGACCCATAGTCAGAGGGAATTTTTCATCTAAAACATTAATTGTTCCTCTATTGAGAAAGATATTGTCGGCTTCACCTAATGTCATTGTTCCATCTGGTGATACCTTTGGTCCATACATTTTATCTCTGTTGGGGTTCATTGACCATTGATACATGTACTGATGGAAAAACCCGTCATCGTGTTCCACAGTGTATATATCATCGTTTAAACTCTTGATAGTTTGCTGTAATTGTTGTTGTTTTTGCTGTTGTGTTTGCTGTTGTTGCTGTTGCTGTGACGCAATTTTATCTAATGGTTCAATGATTGGCGCCAACTGACGTTTTACGCGAGTCAACGAATCCGCTTCTCCACGACGCAATTCTGTGTACTTTTTTCGAACATTTTCCCGGGCTTCAGTCAACAGTTTCAGCAATGTTTCCTTATCGGCACTCATATTGTAACAAATGTGTCAAACTTGTATCTGTATCGGCCGTCGTCTCGCGCAAAGTCCAAACAAATCACTGCGAATCCGTACCGATCCTTGTTCCAACACTCTTTGCAAAACTCTTTGAATTCTCCAAATTTCATATCGCAACACACGTATTCATCGTACGCGTGTCGTAGATTAACTTCATCCTGCCGGAACAACACCACCACATTTGTGTTGTCACGTAACATTTGTTTTTGTATGCGCGACAGTGTTTGGGAGAGAAAAAAAACATCAACTTGCCTGTGTCGTCCTCGCGCGAAATAATCACACATTACATTTTGTTTTTCCATGACAACATCGTCGAATATAAAAACCGAATTGGGCAGGATGTTGTCCACCGACGGTACATCGTCGCCGTTTTCATAGGTAAACAACTGCACTCCTTGGACGCCGCGTAAAACATCCACGAGTAGTTGATACTTGCACTGATGCAACGATTTCGAGTAAACGTAAACATTTTCAAATCGAAGTCCGTTGATATCGGTCAATAGAGTAAACATCAAGTTTGTTTTTCCACAATTTGACGGTCCGCAAATCAATGCACGTATTGTATTTGGCAATAGTTTACCGTGTTTACTAGGTGCAATCTCACTACTTTTTTCAAAATTCACGATAGGTAGCGTGAGAGTCTGTTTTTTGAAACGCATCGCACGTCATCGAACAATAACTGTCAATATGAAAATAATGGTTAAACAGAGACAACGTGGAAAACGAGGTGCAGGGATATTGAATACTGTAATCAACAAATTACCATTCGAAGCCCACATTCCAGGTGTGTGTAATTATTCAAAATAATTCCTCGCAAATAGTTTTATCATTATTTTAAATGTTTATCATTTAGGTTATCAATTTGCGGGTCCTGGAACACGGTTAGAAAAGAGATTAAAACGAGGTGATATTGGGGTGAACCCGCTTGATGCTGCTTGCCGCAATCACGATATAATTTATAGTAAATACAAGAATCTCGAAGACCGTCATAAAGCGGACAAAGTGTTGGAACATCAGGCTTGGGAACGAGTGTTGGCCAAAGACGCTAAATTGCCTGAACGAGTCGCAGCTTGGAGTGTGACCAACGCGATGAAATTGAAACGTAAACTCGGTATGGGTTTCAAACGAGTTGTGCATGCGGCCAAACTCGATAAAAATGCCCAACAAATGGATTTACTGAGTGTGGCAAAACAATCGTTGAAGGCGGCACGACGTGTGGTGAGAAAGAAAAAAATTCCACTGCCCCGTACCATAAACGTTCCAAAAACTAAAGGCGGTGTACTACCGCTTATACCTATATTTGCCGGACTGTCGGCGTTGGGAGCTTTAGCCGGCGGTGCTGCAAATGTGGTCAAGATGGCTACCGAACTTAGCCGTAAAGGCAATACAGCGATAAGCATGGGTAAAGGATTTTACTTGCAACCATACAAATCGGGGTCTGGTTTCAAATTGACGACGAGTACGAAAAAGATGATTCGAAAAAATCAGACGAAAAAAACAAAAAACTAATTTCGCAGCTACCCGATCGTGCCTTGTACGATGTTGAAATTGCAAATTTCGGTAGTCGAGCGTTCGACCATAAAGTGTTTCGTGGCGTGTTTTGTCGTGACACATTACCTAAGTCGGGACCGAAAATGACCGAAATGGCTGTAGTGAACTTGGATCTTTCCACTAACCCTGGCACGCATTGGGTAGCTTATAGTAAACGCGGTAAACGTGTTACGTATTTTGACAGTTTTGGTAATTTACCACCACCGTTGGAACTGCAACGATACTTTAAAGGATGTACAATCGTGCACAACTATAGTAGATGTCAAAACTTCGACGAGGTAAATTGTGGTCACTTGTGTTTGGAATTTTTAATCGAACAACAACAACAACATGACAACAACGGTAACGTTAACCGGTGTGGGATCTGAATTGCAATGTACATTCAATCCACCCATCGATGTTGGTGAAAAATGTAAAATTGGGTTATTGAGCTTGCATACGTGGAACACTATACCTAATATTGACGAGGATTGTAACAAATTCATTTTCGGCACTGTTGACAAACCAATTATGGTGATAACACTACCGACGGGATCGTACGAATTTGAAGATTTACAGAAACGAATCACGGACAAGTACAACGGAGAAGAGTATAAGTACAGTGTGCAACAACAACAAATAGATTTTGATGATCCATTGTTGCCAACGGTTGGTTTACTCAAGGAAAACAGCAGAGAAATCGGTGACAAAAGGTTGGGTGATCGAAACGTTATCTCTTTTACAGCCGACCGCAACACTATGCGAAGCATAATCAAATGCGATCACCCCATAGATTTTACACACCCGCAATCAATCGGTCGTATACTAGGGTTCCGACCTCGTGTATTGACACCGAAAATGGAACACACGTCGGATTTCCCGTTATCTATAACAAAGGTTACATGCATACGAGTCGACTGCAATATAATTGTTGGTTCGTACCACGGAGGACGTCAATCGCATACATTGCACGAATTCTTTCCAAACGTACCACCGGGCTACCGGATTATCGAGTGTCCCAGACAAGTAGTTTACTATCCGTTAAACACAAACGTATTGAACACGATTCGAATCGCATTGCTCGATCAGGACGGTCAACGTGTCAACCTAAGAGGTGAAAAATTAACAGTGCGTTTACACATCAAACAGGATGGATGAAAGTACGATGACGTTATGGGACCGTATAAAACAGTTTGATTCCTCACAAATTGGATTATTTTTGTGCATACTAGTCACAGTCGTGCAACTATTACTACTCCTTCAAACATCCGTCAACAGCTGTCAGCTGATAAACAGTGATAACAGCAACAACAACAACAGTTCAACCACAATTTATCGTTTGGAAGCACTGGCTCGAGAACTTTATTCAGTCGACGACCGTGTCTTTATACTGGAAAAACGTGTTGACACTCTTTAAATGCCTCTGAGTTTCAACAGGAGTGTAGTGCACCATCATTTGAGTGATGGCATATACTCTACGACGGAGCAACCGGATAATCGTGCGACGCTATCGCAGCAGCAACTAACAAAGAAAAATATTGAATTTTTAAAATCGTTGGGTTGTCGAGTCAATCATGGCCGAGTACTTGCACGTGTTGGAAAAATGTCAACAAGACGACAGTGTAAAACGCGAGTACTATCTGGAACATCAGAGTTACAACAACTCGTACGAACACAACGATGAAATCCGTATCGAGGTGCGCAACAAGGAGAAATTCACCGTGCCGTGCGAAAGTTATTTGCAAATCGAAGGAAAACTTGAAAAACCACCAGCTGGAACAGCCGGTGAAATGGTTATGGGGCAAAATTTTCTCATGCACCTATTCGATGAAATCAGATTTGAGGTAAATGGTAAAGAAGTAGACAAGATAAAATACGTTGGTATGGCTACAACCATCAAGGGATATTGTTCATTCACACCCAACGACATTCGACGATTACAACCTGCCGGATGGAAATACGCGCAAATTTTGCACAACAACAACGATTTCGTCGATGGGACTGAATTTGTAGCGCAATGTCCATTATCTATGTGCATGGGATTTTTCGAACGGTATCGGCGCACACTGATAAACTGTACTCAGACTCTCGTGTTGAATAGATCGAGTACCGACAGCACTGTCGTATCATTGGTTCCACAGACAACAACAACAACAACAGACGATAAAGCGCAAGTTGCAACATTGATAAAACAAATCAACGTGAAAATATCGAAAATAAAATGGGTAGTAAAGTACTTTGAACCCAGCGTGAAAACTGAACTGGGTCTGATGTGTATTCTGGACAGCAAGAAATGGCTCCCGTTAGAATTTCAACACTGGGACGTTGCCGTTTACCCGTTGGTACCGCAGACAACTCATCACACGTGGTCGGTGCGCACCTATTCGAATGTGGAAAAACCTAGATATTTACTTATTGCCATGGGTAATGAGGACGAACACGTTCTCGGAGATTTCAATCACTGTTCATTGAGAAACGTCAAAGCGTATCTGAACGCTGACGAATACCCGTACGAGAACCAAAACGCCGATTTCGACAACAACAAGTACACAACGTTTTATAACTCGTACGCACAATTCCAGACAATGTATTACGGTCGTAAAGACCCCTATCCTTTATTGGACTATATAAATTACAAAAAACGTGGACCTATAGTCGTGATTGATTGTTCTAAACAAAACGACACCGTCAAGTCTTCAACGGTTGATCTACGCTTGGATGTGTAAATTTATATTTTCTTTATTTCATTGTCGTAATCTCCATTTTAACTCCCCATTTGGTTCTACCTGTTATCGAACTACGTATAGAGGACTTCCTCAAGGTAGTTGTCTCAGTCCAATTCTTTTTAACATTTATACTGCAGATATAAGCATCGCTCTTTCATCATCCAACAATCATTCGAGTTTATTTTACGCCGATGACATTATCATTTTTTCTTCCCATAAATCATAGAGATTGCTGTCTCTAACATTAATATTGCTCTCCAAACTCTCTCTACGTCACTTCGGTTATCTTTTTTTGAATCTGCTCCGGAAAAAAGTAAAACTATTGTTTTCACAAGAAAACACATTCTTCAAATTCCGAATATTTATCTTGATAATGTTATTTTATCCTACTATGATTGTGTCACTTACCTTGGCCTTAAGCTTGACCAAAAACTTCGTTGGATGCCACATTTTAAATACCTGATTTCCACTTTATCACGTTGGTCTAATTTGTTATGTTCTATAGCGGGGACTTGGTGGGGCTCCCACCCCTCTTCACTTCTTCTTGTATTTAAATCTCTTATACGTTCCAAAATAGATTATGGATCTTTTCTATATCCCTCTGTCTCCACCGTGCACCGTAATAAACTTAATTCCCTTATGACTTCTTGTTTACGTACTATCTTAGGCGCCGTTTACTCTACCCCAAATATAAGTTTAGAAGTGGAATGCGCTTGTCCCCCCATCGAAGTTCGTTCTCGACTCCTAACTTGTAAATTTCTTACTAAACAGTTATCTTATTCTGCCAACTCGATATTTTATAATTTTCATTCTCTATGCGCAGTTTGGCGCTATGTTCCCAAAACTCTTCCTTTACTTGCTTCAATCTCTTCGATTTTGACTCCGTACCTTAATATGATAATCACATCTTTAAATCGTTTACCTATTTATGATGTCTCCTTCCTGGCTCTTATTTATTGCCCACCTATTCATTTTATCCATCACTTTCTTTCTTACTCAAAAAAGCAATTACAATCTCTCCCTATTCATTTTGTTAATAATCTATTCAATGAGTTCTTATTCTTTAATTTCTCCAATTATTGTCTTATATTTACTGATGGTTCAGTAAGCTCTAATTCCGCTGGTTTCTCGTTCTTTATTCCTAGTCTTAATATTAAATTCTCAGATATTCTCCCTTCACAATCTTGTTCTTTTACTACTGAGTGTTATGCCATTTCTTCGGCCCTTGAGCTTATTAAATCCTTCAATATTTCTAATGTTTTAATAATTACTGACTCTTTATCAGTCCTTTCTTCTCTCTCTTCTAATTCATTCAAAAAATCCAGATCTTTTATTATTATTAAAATAAAATCGTTAATTTATAATCTTTTCTTAGCTAATACAAAAATCTAATTTTTTGGTAATGAGGAGGCTGATCATTTATCCAAACTTACCAAATTCATTAGCCGTCGTCCAACCCTCAATATTCCATCATCCGACTTCATTTCATCCCTTAATAAGACGATATTTCTAGCATGGCCAGAATATTGGTCTTCTCCTTTCTCTCTCATCGCAGCTTGGCACAAATCAATTTCACCAACTATTCCAAATCATCCTTGGTTCCATAAACTTCCTCTCTCCCGGTTCCATATATTATCCTTTTCTCGACTAAGACTTGGTCATAATCGCCTTACTTTTCATGCGTACAAAATGTCCCTTAACAATTCTCCTTTCTACCCCAAACATGACGATGAAGTTCTCTGCGACTTTCCTCATATAATTTTTGACTGCTGTGCATTTGAAAGTAATCGTTCTATTTTATTTAATAATTTATCTCATCTTAATATCTCTCCTATTAATTGTTATACTATTCTTAACTCAACTTCTCTCGATGTAATATCTTTAGTTCTTTCTTTCATTCATTCAGCTGGTTTTTTTATTTAATGGTGTTTACTGTAATTTTGTTGATCTTACGATCAATTGTATTATTATTTTTTTTTATTATTATTATTTTTATTTTTTTTTCTCATTTTATTTAATTGTTAAGCTATAATAACATTTTGTATTGAAAGCTAATAAAAAAAAAAAAAAAGTTAGTTATGAATAAATACATTGATCTACAAGGAATTTTCATTAGGGCCCAAAATATACTTTTCTAGATCATTTTATTGCGCTGATTTTATATCTACAATTATTTTTTTTCTATCGCCTCTAAGTAGTAAAAATCGAGTATGAAAACATAACAAAAATATAGGTTAAAATGAAATTCAACAACGCATAAGTAGACGAAATCATTGCGGAGACTAAGCAAGGAATATTTTTGATTTTTTAATTAATTTCTTTAAATGTAAATACTAGTTTTTTAATTAGTAACAATCTCAAAACAAAAGAGGTAATTGAAGAAAAAATATAATTACAGTTTTGAATAAGCGCAAATTGGTTCTACAAAGTAAACTTTGGTTTATGATGATTAAAAATGTTTTATTTTATATGATATTTCTGCGTAATTAAGTATAAATACTAATTCTATATTCCTATTGTGGAGATATTTAATTTTTAAATAGAAACTTAATATGAAGCATTTTAATAAAAAAAAAAATCAGTCCAGTGAGTGCTGAGAAATAGTAG